AAAAAAAAAAAAAAAAAAAAGAAAGAAATTGAAAATAGAATCCATGCTCACAGATTTGCAGGATTAATATTGTGAAAACAGCTATATTACTAAAAACAATCTATAGAGTCAACACAATTTTTATCAAAATTCTGTCATTACAGAAATAGAAAACCAATCCTAAAATACATATGGAAGCACAAAAGTCTCTGTATGGCCCAAACAATCCTGAGAATAACAGCAATGCTGGAGGTACCACAATATTCAACTACGAATTATACTCAGAGCCATAGTGGAAAGAAAGAAAGAAAGAAAGAAAGAAAGAAAGAAAGAAAGAAAGAAAGAAAGAAAGAAAGGAGGGAGGGAGGGAGGGACGGAGGGACGGAGGGACGGAGGGACGGAGGGAGGGATGGAGGGGGGACAGAAGGAAACAAGAAGCAAACAAACCTATCCCAGCACAAACACAGAAATAGATGGGATCAACGGAATAGAATAGAGAACCCAGAAATGAAAACACAGCCACAGTCACCTTATTTTTGACAGACGTTTAAAACACGTATTGAAGGAAAGACAGCCCCTTCAACAGCCGGTGTGAAGGAAACCGGAGATGCACGTGCGGAAGACAATAGCTAGAGCTACTGCTCCCTGCACAAAGCTCAACAGGGATCAAAAGCTTTGAGGCAAGATGTGAGGAGTTGAAGCTGCTGAAGGAGAATGTAGGAAAACTGCTTCCTGACACAGGCAAAGACTTTCTGAAAGGGCTCCAGCAGCCTGGAAATAATAGCAAATCTGATAAACGATGTTTCATCAGATTAAAGAGATCCTGCACAGTGAAGAAAACAGTTGCCAGAATGAAGATGCAGCCTGCAGAATAGGGGTGAATCTTGCCAGTCATCTAAGAGGGACATCAATACAGAGATTATCTATAGAACTCAAAAAATAAGCACAAAACACCAAATCATCCAGTCAATAAAAGGAAAACGAATTGGACAGAGAATTCTTTTGACAGTGATTATTTAAGGTCTTGTCAGTCTGATGTTGCCTGTTACCTTTTTCCCCTGGCATTAAAACAGACAGAGCATCCTATATTAAATAACTTTTAAATGTACCTTATTTTGCTTTATTTTATTTTATTTTATTTTATTTTTTGAGCAGAGTCTCACTGTGTAGCTCAGGCTGGCTACACAGAGACAGCAAGCCTCCCTATTGCCTCCCTGTTGCTGGGATTACAGGCATGTGCCATCATTTCTTAAAAGAGGGTATCTCCCAGTCCCTGGCCCTAATTACAAACAAGTCCCTAGGTTCTTACTCCTGTTACCCTGCCCCTGCCCTCCAGGCCACCTCTCCGATGTACTCACCTTCCTGTTGAAGCGGTCGATGGTGACATGATAGGCCAAATGAGTCACATTCAGTCTCACCAGACAGAATGGGGGCCAGTTCAGGTGTCCCTGCAGAAACCCCAGCCTCATCAGCCCAGAGCCCTGCCCTGAGTTTCCCTCCAACTGTGTGGGTAGAGGAAATGTGGGCACGCTTGCAGGCCTGGGTAGATGGTACTCAGAATCCTACCTGACCTCATGCAAGCCCAGCTCAGGGAAATGGGGGGAGAAGAGAAGAGGAAGGGACTGAGGAAGGAAGGGAGGGAGGGAGAGAAAAAGGAAAGGAGGGAGGGAGAGAGAAAGGAAGGAAAGGAGGGAGGAGGAAGAGAAAACGGAAGGGATGGAGAAAGGGAAAGAGGGAGGGAAGAAAAAGGAGAGGAAGGGACGGTGTTTCCTCTATCCACGTGGCTCATGGGGTTATCTTAGCAGCAAGCCTATGCGGCTGGCACCTAGAACCACAGGCCGCCACCTTAGGATGGTTTCCTTGCTTCTCTCTATTTAGTGTCAACCCCAAGGCAGCTAGCGAGCTGCAGGAGCTAGGAACGAAGCAGATCGCAGGAAGGGCCAAGGGGTGGCACACTGCTCCGCTAGTTCCCTCAGTCCCCCGGCCTGCTAAGGGATGGGCTACCTCTCCAGAAACCTCCTGGGAGGCGGAAAGAGAAGGAAGGATGCCGCCATGGCCTCCCCAAGACCTACCCTGACTTGGGGTGTTCACTGAACTCCAGCTTACTACCCAGTCTCCTCTCTGCCTAGTTCAGTTCTCAGGCCCTGACAGGGAGGAAAGCAAGGGGCATTTACCAGGTTGGCACTCTTACAATCCAGGACATGTACGGAGATTATTTCCTCTGGGCTCTGACTGAGGATATAGATGGCCTCCTTGAACAGGGCCACATGGCTGCCGTCAAAGGTTACAAAGCTTAGGTCTGGGAAGATGGAGCATCGGCCTGGAAGCAGGGGCAGGGAAGGACAAGCTGATGGCTTCAAGGCCACCTAGGAAGATGGTCAGGTGAGCAGAGATTCTGGGGATTGTTGAGTCCCTAGGATCAGGTGTCTCAGAGAGTTCAGAGGTCACAAGGGTAGGAGTCACAGGGAGATGGGATTTCCTATGGAAGTGTGGGAGAGAACACAGATTAGGGAGGAGGCATGCTGGAGTAGGGAAAGAGGAGGGCAGAGGCTCGGGCAGACCTCATAACTCACAGGCACATTCCCAGAGTGGGCAGCAGCGGTCTCCACCCACCCGCACAGCGAGGCCAAGGACGCCACAGTGAGGGCGTGCAGCCCCCTGAGGACAGTGCTGGGACTGGTTCACACGTATTAGCTGGCCTTCTAGGCAAATGTGCCGGACGCAGTCTTGTTCAGCGATGGGCTGGGGCACAGAGCGCATTGTCAACGTGAGTGCCCCTCAGAGCTCTGGTATTACCTACCTCAGCCTTCCAGAACAAGTCAGATTCCAGCAGGGCAGGTGACCTCGAGGTAAGAACTAGGGAATCAACGCCCTGGGATGCCTGCTTCCAACAATTAACTTGAAACAACAGAGAGCCACTTGCGAAGAGGGTCTCAGGGAGGGGTTGGATCAGGGTGGCTATAGGTGTGTGTCTGTCAGTGAGGGTTGTCTGGATGCTGGTTTGTGGGCATGTCTGGTGGACTGTCTGGAGTGGGTTGGACCATGGGCGTGTCTGTGTTGGGTTGTCTGGATTGGGTTGGCCTGTGGGTGTGTCTGTGTTGGGTTGTCTGGATTGGGTTGAACCGTGGCGTGTCTGTGTTGGGTTGTCTGGATTGGATTGGCCTGTGGGTGTGTCTGTGGTGGGCTGTCTGGAACAGGTTGGACCATGGGTGTGTCTGTCAGTGAGGGGCTGTCTGGATCAGGGTGGACTGTGGATATGTCTGTGGTAGATTGTCTTAATTGATGTGGGAAGGCCCAGGTTGACCATGGGCAGCACCGTTCCTTAGTTGTGAGACCTGGACTGAGCAAGTGTAGAGAAAGCTAGCTGAGTAGCAAGCGTGCATGTATCTATTCTTTCTCAGAGTCCAAATCACATTCTCAACACACCCTGCAAAAACACACCAACTCGTCCAATCTGGCCCTGAACCCAAACAGGCAGGGTGGGGACCAAGGAGACCTGGGGATTTTTGAAGTACCAGGAACTTGAGCTAGGGATTGAGTAGGGTCAGGGCCACCACCACCATCTTGCAGCCGAGGGTGAATGGACAGATACCTCAACAAGCACAGCCTATGACCATATGGTGGTGCCCATCTTAGCGGCAGGGAGAAGACCAGGTCTTAGGGAAGGAGTCACAAACACTGACAAGGCACTCACCACACAGGTGGCAGAAATGTTCACGTCGACCTCCACCGATCCCTCTGCTATGCTCTGGGCTGAAGCTGAGCGTCCTGACTGCTCCGTGGTGGCCTGGCGCCCTAGATCCTCTTGGGGCTGGAACCCTGCTGGGGTCCCATGGGCTTCTGCCAGCTGAGGCAGCAGAATCAGTGAGCCCTCCCGGGAGACCGTCCTGGCTGATACCCGGCTTAGGGAGTAGGATGTGGGCACCAGTGGCACTGTGCCAGCCTGGGGGCCCTCCGTCTCCATCACCGAGGGAGTAACAGTATGGCTCACTATGGCTGTGAGTTCTGTGAACCCACCCTGGGCAGAGCCAGAGATGAAGGAGGGTGGAGACACTTTCTTAGACAGGATGACTGCTTTAGGGGTGGTGCTCTTCCGTGGGGCAACAGACACTGTGGAGGGCACCCCAGCAGTCACAACTGAGGGTCCAGAGCTTGCCAATGTGGCTCCCAGAATTAGGTCTGAAGCCACACCTGTTGTCTGGGGTACCATGGGGCTAGGTGAGTGTGCCTGGTCCTCCACAGCGGACACGAGAGGCACTGTCAGACTGAGTGTGTGAGCAGGTGCTGTCACAGTCGCGGTCAAGGCCAGAGTGGTGCCCAGATGCTGAGGTGGAGGGGTGGTGATAGAGTCTTTGGGGCCTGGTGTGGCCTCTGGGGCAGATGTGCCCACTTTAGCCAAGGGCAGGCTGGTGTCGAGCGGCAGGCCCGAGAGAAGCTGATGTGGCTGAGTTGACTCTAGAGAAAGTAAGGCTGTGGACCCCAGCCTATGAGCATCTGTGATTGGGCTGCCAGTAGCCAGGGTCCCTAGTGACAGAGCTGGGGGCCTGGAAGCTGTGGTGGTGTGTTGGGCTGGATGAGGCAGGGCAATGGGGACTGAGCTGGGGTGTGGAGACCCCGGCAGCCCTGTGGCCTGGCTGTGCCCGGGTTCTGTCTGCTCTGTAGCTGGCACCACCTCCAAGTCCTTAGTGACAAGAGGACTGGCAGGAGCCCTCTGTGTTGTGCTCACCATAGTCAGGGGGTGGCTGAAAGCTGAAGGGCTCCGGGCCTGGACAGATGGGGACATCACTGTCTCATTTGTGACCTTAGTTACTGTAGTTGTCAGGCGGGATCCCGGGGATGTGGGAGGCCTGGGAGTTGCTCCAGGGGACGTCATAGGTCTTGAAGAGGGGCTTGGGAGCCAAGAGGGCTGCAGGGGTGTAGTCCTAACAGGAAAGGAGTCATGACTCACGGCTGTCACAGCTTTGGTCATGAGTGGGAAGCGAGGGACAGGGGGTGACCGGGAGGAGACCGTGGTGTTGGGAGTCCCTGCGAAGGTCACAGTCACTTTGGTTGTCTCTATTATACCTGATACAGTGCCAGATGTGGGTGTCTGCAGAGAACCGAGGGGGGAGGACGGGGGCCCTGGCAGGTGAGAGGTGGCTAGGAGGCTGGCAGCTAGGGTCTCTGTCTGGTGGGCAGGAACGGTAGATGTTACAAGCCCCAGTGGGGGCTGCGGCGTGTGGTGGGCAGAACCTGGAGACTGCACCGGCCCTTCAGTAGCAGCCATTGGTGGGTTTGGGGCGGAAGTCAGTGGAGCTACTGGGACAAGGGCAGGCCCGCGGGTGGGGACTCTGGAAGGCTCCTGGGGGAGCTGCTGCTTGTCACTGGGGGTGGGTAGCGCTTGTCCAGGTGCCAGGGTCTCGTTGCCAAGCCCCTCCATGGGACCCTGCAGGGCTGGCTCCACACCTGGGGCAGACAAAAGAAGAGGCTTATAATGAGGGTGACTGCCCCAGCCATCCTCATGGGCAGGGCTGAGGTACGATGCTAGAGGACTAATACCCTAAGCCATCGGGCAAACATGGCTTCTGATACCAGACAGCCATGGCCTCTGTCCACAGAAGACAGCAGGCTGGACTCTTGCCTAAGCCTGGCTGTCCTGTACATTCAGCATAAGACCCCAAGCAAGACCTCCACCCCTCGCTTTTCCTTCCTCTGAAACAGGGACCAGACAAAACCTTGCCAGCTCTGAACCCTTTCCTTCCAGAGCCTGCGCTGACTCTGCTGCCATAGGATCTGGGACCCTGAGCAGAATTTTCCTGAGACACCCTGGAGACTTGGAGTCAGGAGGAGAAAGGAGAACACCAGGCCGCTTACAGTCTTCCAAATAGACACATCTCTGTGTGACTTCATCCAGGACCTTAGGAGTGGGGCACACAGGGACACAGCCTTCCACCCTAAGGACAGAGTAGGGAGCTGGCTAGTGATGGGACGCAGTGCTGCTGGTCTCCCTCTTTTTCCTGGAAAGCACGCAGACCCCACTCTTCTTTATGGCGTGTGTGTGTGTGTGTGTGTGTGTGTGTGTGTGTGTGTGTACTTGCTTATCATGCACACTCCCATGTGTGCTCTACAGAGATCTAGTCACACAAGCGTACAGTCGCACCATGTCCATACTCTCATTTCCTGACCATCAGCGAATCACACGTGAACAACGTGTGACTATGTGCCCCCCTGTCATACGCTCAGGCTCTCCATATAGACCCATTCTCACACAGCTCACGGGCTCTCTCCAAGGCTATAAAAAGCTAAGCTATATACATATTGTATACACTCATATGCATCTGTGTAGGTGCCCACAAATATCAGCTTACACACCCCATGACATTTTCACTCACATTCAACTGCATATAATCAGCTTACACAGGTGTGTGAGTATAGCTGTGTACAGCCCATACATACGTAATACATAAAAACACAAGGTTCAGATATACCCACATCATGCACCAGTATGCAATGTGGGTATATGACATTTATATATGGCACACACATACTGTTTTGGTTTGAATGTGAACCCCGCCCACATAGATTCATTGTTACCTTCCCACAACAATGGCCGATCCCTTCTTAAACTGTGGTCCCAAATCAACCCTTCATCACTAAGCTACTCTTGCCAAGAATTTGGTCATGCCAGTGAGAAAAATAATTAAGATATACATAAAAGTACATTTCCCACACACACACATTCCTATACTCAACTTAGTACACACTCCTACACACACCCTCACACGCATGTCTACACACATGCTCAGTGTGCTTAGACTCCTGCCCACTGCCCCTGGCCTTACCTGGGCACATCCTGGCAACTGGTCGCCCGTGGGTCCCGGCATGTTCGGAAGCAGGGACTGGCACAGGCGTCATAGTGCCACTCGCAGATGGGGTAGGCAGCCCCTAAGGGCTTGGCATCTAGAAAGACAGCCCCCTCCAAGACTCTGGACTGAGAGGCCGAACACCAGAGCCCAGCATTTCCCCAGCTCAGCCCATGCCTTCCCTGCCCTGTAGTGAGGACAAGTGACTACAGGCAGGAAAAGTCAGAAGCCAGGCACAGGAGGTGGCATTCATGATGCTGAGGTCCTGCTGGCATCTCAGCTGGTGTCCCCATGGGTGTACTTTAAACTTCTGGGGCGATTGCATGTTCTAAGGCAGGAAACTGGAACCAGGCATTATGTGAGCTCCCACTAGGCTCACTTCCACGCATTTTTACACTACACAATCGGCCTTTAGCAGGAGGCAAGACCCAGGAAGTTGGCTGGGTCTCAATCCACTCCGCCATCACTCGCTGATCTGCAATATGGACATCAGACCACCTCCCAATCCAAGGGTAGCCCCAGGGGCATCCCTCTTTCCAAAAGGATGAGGATTCTGTTCCTTGGGGACATGTGGAAAGGAAAAGGGGACAAGGCATGAAAAGCAGCGGAGTGAGGCAGAAGCCCCAGGTTTGAGAACAACGGTGGGGCAAACACTTACCCAGAAGGTGGAAGAGTGCACCACCACGAAATGCCTCTGTGTGCTCGTATGACCTCAGAGCCAGCTCAAGGCCTGATGAGTGGAGGAAGGAGCCAGGCTTTGCCAGGGACTCCAGAGCCACCAGGCCAGCCTGCCATGTCCCCCGGTGCAGGGAGAAGGAGGCATGCTGGTGGAAGGCTTCATCACCACGCCACTTCGCCATCCTTACAGACCCATTGGCTAGGGTGTGCAGGAAGAAGTTGGGTCTGTCGGCTGCTTCCAGGGACACAGCGTCAGGGTCTGCAGAGCCACGGGAGTTAGGTCAGTGTACAGACAGACCAGATGTGGGGGTGCAG